ATGCGCAGGTAGGTTACCTACTTTTTGTCCATCGCGATACTTTATGAAAAACGGCCCTGACTAGGTCTGGAAGGGCACCCCTCTATCTGGCAGAATCTCGTTACGCAGAAACTCATTTGGCATAACTCACTTGGCATAATCTTCTTTAACCCAATATTTACAAGGCATAAACATTGTTAAATATAATCATCGTTCGCCGCATCGTCAGTGTAAGATCGGTCTTCAAATGTACCAACGAAGGTCATTTTAAAAAACTTGTTGGACAACAAAGCTATAGGTTAGGTTAGGTTACTTAGGTTAGACTTGCGACCTTACACAGCGTGAAGGCGAGTGAGCGAGCGAGCGCAGCGAGCGAAGCGAACGTGCCGCGGCAGCGGCCGCCGAGCGCTAAGTCTAACCAAAAAACGCAATTTAATCTCAAAATTTAATTTTCGGTTTTTTCAGAAACTAAGTTTCTGATCTTCCCCATTCACAGGGGGAGTTCCCCTACCCCCCTCTCTCCCTCCACCTCATCCCTACAACCCTTAATAATGCGATAGGGGAATAAAGATTTTACCTTTAATAGTATGCCAAAAGACGATTCTGTCTAAGAAATTTCTGCGATGTGATGGTTCTGCTTTTTAATTATTCGGGATATTAAAGTTATGCCTAAAGATGATTCTGCCTTACAAAATTATTAGTTTTGAATGTATATCAAATAAGTGTATGCCTAACGAATTTCTGCGTAAAGAAGATTGTGCCATCCGTTGTTATGCATAGAAAATTATGATTAAAAAAGTTCTGCGAAAAAAGGTAGAACCGTATGGAAGCAGTTGAACGCGAATGGCGTACATTTATAATTTCTTTCGCGATATATTTTCTTTTTATCTTAAAGAAAGTCAAAGACAGTAGTTATCTGCTGTAAATTTAATATTTTGCGTTTCATAATAATAAGGCTCGCACAATTTTATGAACTTTATAGGAAAAATACTGCCACTTAAGTTAACAAACAACACACAATTCGAAGTAAATTGAAAACTCCTTTAACACCAAAGGCAAAGATGTAAGAAAACACGACATGTTTTCCCCACAGTATATTATTTTACTGTAAACTTACCATTTCAGTCACGTGTATTCTACGATAAATATTGTAATACCTCTGCTGCTAAAACAGATTATCTCTGTACAGTCAACTTAAATATTTTAAAAACTTAAGTGGATGTTAATTTGAATTCCCAGGCTGGGAATAAAGCTTTATTAATTCGGGATGAGCGTTTATAGCTCCACTGAAACTGTTGAAAAGCAAATCTATTAGAGCGTTTTTGTGTGTATCTTATTCATGCCCTCAACAATGGGTTAGTAGAGCTTTGTTGTAACTCTAAATTAATAGCTTTTGTCTCTGCAGACCGCTTTTTGTATCGTTTTACTAAAAATATTAACTGCTATAAGCATCATTGCATCAAATACTTTTCAAGGGTTACCAAATATGCTTTAATTGATAGTCAAATTAAACAAGTAACAATATCATGTACCTACTTAAGCCAATTGAAAAGTAAGAATTAAGCTTTAAATTTATACGTACCATGCTGCTTTAAATGCTGACTGTACAACGTGTTGTGTCCACTGAAAGCCTTTGACAGCGAGAGTAAATATGTACATCACACGTCGAATCAGCTCGCGGCTGCCAACTGAAATACTGTTACGTCACGTAGGTACTCGTACAATTAACGTTACAGTTAAATTGAAAACCGATTTCGTAGCAATATTCGTAGCACTGTAGCACAGTCATTGATCGGCATGCAGAGTACGTGGGACACTATTTAAGTTGTGAGCCTAACTATGAAAACAAAGTAGTTTATTATTAAAATGGTATTGATTGCGTATATTGGTATTGTCTTTCATGATTTATGTACTTTTTAATGTGTCCGAAACACTTTTCATAGCATTTTTTCCACTCAGCTTGAGGCACCTCCAAAGCATGGTTTTTGACCGCACTGACAGTTGCTTCTGGCTACATAAATCGCTGTTCACGCATTTAATTTGAATATATGGGTACCAAAAGAAGTGTTAAGATTCCAAGCAAGAATTTTGTAGCGTTGGACCTGTTTATTTCATATTTTGAGTGTTCAAATAGTCAGTTGTTTGACGAGACGTGTAAAAGCTCACATTTTCGTCACGAATGGCGATTTGACTATGCTGGTCAGTTTCCCTTATTAAACTGAAGACTTTTGGAAAAAAGTGGCTGTTTACTATTAAGAATTAACCATTCTAAATTTCTCTAGTGACGTTTCTGTCATATAATCGGATATTTCGAAAAAATAGGCGACCGTAAGTTTCAAAGTGTTCCGAGCGCATGGGACTTTTGTTGGAATTGGTTCATCTTAAAACACCTCCATAGTCGATAGCTGTTTATTTTCAGGATCATTATGCATAGATCCTTAATTCGTCAACTGTCACAATTTTAAAAATGGCTTTTAAAGCTTTTAAAACTTATTTATCAAACATTTCCAAGGCCTAAACGACACAAGCGTCCTTTTGAGCGCTTGAAAAAATTTGTGACATCCAGCGAGAAAAAGACGTATTAACCATAATATGGTCATACAATATTTTATTACTGCTAGTGGAATTAATGCCTAGGATTATTTCAATCCTACGATATATCACATGACGAGGTTTCTCTTCCATTTTTCTGACAACTTCAATGTTTTCCGCCACTATTAGTCATTTTGGACGACTATCGCAAAGTTCACTGGTGAGCCAATGACATACAATATTATACTTCTCAAACTAGCGTTTTACAATGGCCAAGGACAGATCTTTATCACCAAAAGTGAAATTTAGCTGACCGCTTCAGTTTTGTATTGATTAACCACGTCAAAAGTCATAATAAATCTTCGCGCGAAAATTTCCGCAAGTCAATTCCATGTTTTTGTAGTCAAGATAATTTTCAATTCAATGTTAATAATACAAAACGTGCTCAAATGATAAAAAGTTTTGAATAAGGTTGTAGTCAAAAATGTCTAACTTTTCATTAAAAGTATCAGATATCGTCTAACAACACGTTATGTTGTCGAGGCTCACAACTTAAATAGTGCCCTAGTACCCTTAATGCTACGATAACTACGTTCGATTTATACAAACTTTATTATGTTATTAATATCATTTGAGTAATTTAATTTTTAATAGGGTAAGTGTACACTATAATTCGTGCATTTTCAAGGCGCGAGTGAATACGCACTTACAGGGCAGATATGTACGTACATGTCCATCCTAGAAGCATCTCTCTTAACATGAAGTGCGATTTAGGCCCTGCCAGTTCTGCATAAAAAAAACTTAGTGGACCATTGAACCCATCATACTTAGCATAAGCATTTGCTTAGTTTAGCTTGAGAGTTTATCGGGTATATCTATTAGTTGCAGAGCATTTCACATTACTCACCTTTCAAAATAAAAAGGTTAGTATAGATTTGGATGCGTATCTCCTCAAGCAATCTAAAAGCTTTGAACCGTTACGGTCAAAGGGTGCATTGCGATTATAAAACCTATTATCCCTTTCCCAAGCGCTTTAGATATTACAATCTACATACGTAATCTTGCATGTGCCACAGATACGATGATAAAAGTATCGCCAGCTCGCCCGGTCCTGACCCGGAAACCCGGCCGCGCGGCACCTGGCGCAAAACTGGCATTTCGCTTTTTGAATTTATTAGCTGGCTGGAGCCTATCCCGGCTTATGACTTTGATCCAACACGCTATTGCCTGCCACACTTGTACTTTTTAGCAGACTGTGTGAAATTAGCGGTGAACTCATACGAATACGACACGTAGAGATTGTTGAGGGGAGTTTTGCTTCGATGTGGTTGGTTTTTTGACCGAATAATAGAGTAAAATTAACAAAATGTAAGTAAGCCTACATAGTTATTTTATTATCATCAACGACGACATCATAAAGGTAGCAGGAAAGCGCTGGACGCAGGCCGCTACCAACCGGGCAACATGGAAAGCATTATGGGAGGCCTATGTTCAGCAGTGGCTGAGATGATGATGATGATGATGAGTTGTTTTATTTAAATATCTTCTTAGATGGGACGGCTATAAATGAATGATCTGTTCTAAACAACCGTCTAAAGTCCAAAAGCAATCGAAGTCACTCAAGGGCAGCAGATTTATATTCGCGGCACATACACAAATCGTTAGAACGGAGTTGCGAAACGGGCATTGGGAAGGGTCCATTCAAAAGTTAACATCACCGAACTTTACACGGCTGTCTCGAAATAGAAGCGAAGACAACAACTTACTTGGCACCGAGGCATTTATCGCGATGATACAAAACAGTCACGATGAAGTAGGTCTTTGAGACTCGCGAAACTGTGAAATCTATTTGTGCAAGTTTATTTCATGCAATACAAGGCACTGACAAAGATATGTATCGTAGCGAGAAAATATTTTTCTTTAACACAGTTTATCGAGAACACTTTGAAGGAGGTTGTATTGATTAAAGATAAAGCAATACGAAAAAAGGAGGTCAAAGAAGCAAGCAATTTGCGGCGCTGAAGTTTTTCTTTTAACTGTTTTGATAGGACAGGAAGCTGTTTACAGTGGGTACAATGTTTTTTCGTTGAAACACCAGATATTGACATCACAGGGATTTATCTTTCATGAGTACGCGCTGGCCTAATGTTATTATTACTATTATTTCATAGACTTAGTTTCATTCATAACTCTTGAAACATGATGGTAGCTTTTTACAATTTTCATTCAGTTATGTTACCTCTACTTACATAAATGTACATTATTGTCTTTTCATGATCTTCTGAAGTATTGTAATACGAATGTTACCTAATATTTTTACCCGACTGCACCGGAAGGATATGGTTATGATTTTTGTTATTTTTGAAATAAAGGATGTTCTTCTCGAATTTTAGAAAACTGCTCTAATTTATATTTTTACAGCCTGATTTAAAAACTGCTCTAAATTATATTTTTACAGCCTGTTTAATGTCAGTTTTGTTCCAGGGGTGCGCGCTATAGCGCGAATGGTGCGCCGACATGGGGGGGCCGCGGCGCGTGTCGAGTGCACTGCTGCTGCCCTTCGCGCTGCTCGCGCTCCCAACATCCGATGCCAATGCCACCACATACCGGGTGAGAAGACAAATTCTTAGTCCTTTGATCTCTATTTTTAACCGAATTCTAGGTTTTTTCTACTATAGTGCATTTTTTAGTTTGCCAGCCTGCTTTCTATTCTACTTTTTAGTGCATCTTTTCGGACGGTTTTTTTTATTAAAATATTAATTGCCAATAGGATTGGCTCTTGAGTGAAGACGCAATTTATGCAATAAAGATATTGACTAACTATAATATGATGAAGCAAGTTTGCCCAGAGATGCCTCTTCAATAACACTGACGCAACGTTGCACTTATTTTCCAATTTTTGGCTGTAGATACCTACGAATGATTCACATAATCAGCTACTTCACGTTTAGCTTCTTTCCTCACATAATATCTTCACACCATGTCCACCCAAGACCAATTTATACGATTTCTTTTACCAATAGGCATCGCAAATCTTTTGCAAAAAGCCGAAATAAAATGGAGATTTTCGCGCTTCCGGTCCTATCAAACGATGCCCTCAATACCCTTATGTATGATAGAACATGTTACTTCTATCACACGATTCCGTCAATATACTGTAAGATAAAACATGTCATGCATGTTACATCTGCCGCGAATGATTTATGTCACATTAGGAAGACATGAAAAGCAAGCGTTTCTTATGAATACCTACCTACATACCCTCTCTTATGATTGCATGACGAGTTCACTTCTTTCAATATAGGAAACAAATAAGTTAATGTTAATTGCGATACGCTAACGTGGCTATTAATACGATACAAAGCAAATTCTGAAACTAAAGTTTTCATACTTACTTATCCATAAATACATCTGAACATTAAGCAGTTATTAATTGTAGGCGCTTAAGGAAAATAGCCTCAAACCACGACCATTAACCTTATCCAGGGATTCCTACTGGGATTATGGGAAGTATATAGCGGGAGTCCATTATTCTAAGACTATTTCTTAAGAAAACGTCCAAGTAACTTAAAGGATTTCAGTAACACGAAACATTTTCATAATTAAATTATAAATTGATCAAAATATGATAATTTTCTTACACCAGGCAAAGTGTCGTAGAAATAAAATGTAAAATGCCTTTTATTATACGTCATACTTATACCAAAATCTCTAAAAGGAATGAAGTACCTCTGAATTTACTTTATAACGCGGACTGCTATGCAATCTAGGCAGTCGCATAACGTTTCACTTGCAATTTCCTAAGTTCTGCCTTCTAGTTCCACAATTTCCACAAATCTGGGAATTCAGAGGCAATACCGCACGCTGCCAGCTGCAGACTCGAGAATAGCCGAATCTAGCCAGCGCGCAAGCCGCCTGGTGATGTGATAGCCGTGTGCAATTGCTCAGGGTTGCCATGCATGCTATAGTCATGGAAATAATTTTACCTTTTGCCACCAAATTATGTACAGATTTCCTTGACGGCGCATTGTGAATATGAGGAATTTTAGTTCGCAGTTGGTAGTATAGTAGGCCTGATAGGTTACTTTCACAATCACAACATAGGAATCTAAATTAATTTTAAAAATGGGTTAAAGCATTATGTTTTGATAGGTAGCAGCTTAGAAAAGTTAAGGCAGGGTCTCAGGCAGGGTATATTTGGAGTTTTTGTACTTTGTCAACCCTAGAAATAGTCCGGTTGGGTTCGCGGTAAAATCGGACTGCTGAACGCGATGGAGACGTAATCTCAAGTTAATAGGGTTGCTGATGTATCAATAAATGGATAGTAAACATTTTCGCATCTAGCCATCTTAAAATGTCAGAGTTAGCTAAAAAATACAAAATATGATTTAAATTAATATTTGTCGGGTCGAACTTCATGCCCCAAACTTTTTACAACTGACTCTACTTGTCATTATTCGGCTGAGCGCTATGGTGGCTGTGTCTCTACATAGGTAAGTATAGGAGGGTGTGTCTATGCTAATTATTTTTCAGATAATCAAAATTTTATTGGTATTTTAAGTGAAGAAAAATAAATGGTATTTGATTTCTCTCCTGTACTAATTTCTAAGTAGAAAAGCGAACAAACCGAATTTTTAAGTGGAAACCCTGGAGTCAGTTGGCCATAAAGGTACGATCGTAACGTAACTCTAACTTGGCAACAAGTATAGCGCTGCTAAATGTTAGTAAGTAGGACAGAACGGTCGTATCCATATCCTACTTATTTTCCGATAAGAAATCGTGGAAGGAAAAATAAATCGTAAAAATTCTTTACCATAAAATAGGTAAGTATGTGTCCCGTTTTTATATGGACAAAGATAAAATATTTAGAGAGTACCTACCTAGAGAGATATTTAGGCACACGCAAGGATGTGTACTAAAGTGATAGCATAGGCTCACTTTTCATTTTGTTATTCTCTGTTTACCATTGGCAAATAAAATCAACCTATTTACTTACGCTATTATGCCTTATTAAAAAGACTGTAACAAATCCTACATATCAATATTCAGGACTTTAAAACATATTGCTTTCAAACATACTTCACACTTTAGACTTTATTAGACATTTTCCACTTGCTTTTCTTGCTTATCAGGGAAATTTATAGATTTAAAGTTCATGAAATCAAATCAGTAGGACACCGCCTAATTTTGTACAAGTTTCATAAGGCTATATCCCTGTAGTACCTATAAGTTTTTCATATCGTTCTATGGAAAATGCGTTTATTTAGGTAAAGGGTGGCTCTTCAAATAGCTTAGGGCCCTTGTGCCTGGCCGAGTGGGGCCGAGTGCTGGTACACATTTAGCCCTTACAAACCGTTCATGTAGACACGTTACGTCAATCACAATACTAATATGTTTACGTACTTATTACTAACTAGCTTTTGCCCGCGGCTTCACCCGCGTTAAATTTAGTTTGTCACAGATCGTCATAAATCATTAGCCTATATGTTAATCTGGGATATAAACAATCCGTTCAATAGTTTTAGCGTGAAAGAGTAAAAAACATCCAGACATACAAACTTTCGCTGCAGAGAGTAGAACCCATCGAAAAAGGACTCATTAGGAATCACAATGTCGATTATGGAAAACACAAATATTAAAAAACTCACCGTTTGTTCCCTGTTTAGCCATCAATGTAATTCCAGTTTACCCAGGATGGACAGTTCGACTTCAATGATAGTTGAGTAAGTCCCAAATCTACATTTAGGTAATAGTTTCCAAGACATGGAGATCTAAGTAAAATCAAAACTTTACTAATATTAAGTCGAAATCTTGACCGTGATTTAGGTACTAGTTATCTAGGTTTGTAGTAGTAGGTCTGTGTGCCGATACCGTTGAGAGTATTTTAATGAGCTCCTCGAAGTTCAATTCTAATTATTCTGAAGCGGATAACTTAAATTACCTAGGTACTTACTTATGGAATCAGTTTGACCTTTGCGACGTTCGCTAGATACTCGCACAGAAGTTTTCCGACATCTTAGTCAAAGAAGGTAGATACGATTTTTTTTTATGAAATTATTATACAGTTATAATGACTTGCTTAATTTGCACTTATTTCAAGTTAAAACTGAAAACCTAGTGTGAAAAATAATTCTAAACTACATTCGGCAAAAAATTCGATTACACTTTCTCATGGGTACCTACTTCGGATATCCGTCCAATTTATTTGTTTACATCGAGTTAATCGTTTCCAAAGTCATTCCCGATCACGTGTAATCAAAGTTTAATCCTTGGCAGGCTTTGAATTGAGAAGGGTATTTCTCATCGCCACGGTTCTCATCGTCACCTTCGTGGCAAATTTTATTTCTAACTTATTTGAACTTTTTGCAAACAAAAATTGTAGCGTTTGATGTGAAGATTGTATTCTCAGTAAATCAGTCAAATAGTGAGTCTCGTTTGGAAGCTTTAACGTTTTGAATTTTTTGATGCCACGAAAGTGATTCTGTATTTCACAGCAATTATTTTTTCAAACTTTACTACTGTAAATGACTCTTAAGTGTTTATATAACACATATTTTGTCTTATTTTCATAGATAAATAGCAATAACATACTATTAGGTACCTACTTAAATACAAGATACAATTTTACCGATTAACTCATCTACTAAGTTACAAGATTCTACGCAATTGGTTTTAAGGGTGACACTGGTGGCATTCTGAAATGCTAAAGAAGCAAAAAACGGATTTAGAACCTCAATAAAAAAGAACTCTTACTGATTATCAGTCCCTCAACAAAAATATATTTTTTATTTTGGCCAGAGGGCCTCGTATTTTATTATTATTGCAAGCTTTTATTTACTTTCACAGGTCTGGTGTAGGCAAATCTTGCAACTTAAAATTGACCAACTTCCCGGTTTCCCATTGAGCTGAAATTTTTCATGCATGTGTAAGTCGGATGACAATGCAATATTATGATGACATGGAGCTAGAAGGTAGCCATAGGAGCTCTGCAATAAAACGACATAACCCCATAGAGTTTGGGCTCATTTGATTTGTATTGATGAGAACTTCCATCCTATATGGTAACCGGGGTCTGATGATGAAGCCGGAAGGTGGCCATAGGAAATCCGCACTGAAACGACACAACCTCATCGAGTTTGGGCTCATTTGGTTCGTATTGACGAGAACTTCAATCCTATAATGATAACTAGGGTCTAATGATGGAGCTGGAAGGTAGCCATAATAACTACGTAATAAAACAACACAACTTCGTCAAGATTGGTAATTCGTATTGACGAGCACTTCAATCACATATGATAACTAGGGTCTGATGATGGAGCTGAAAGGTGGGCATACGAATTCTCCGCACTAAAGCGACACTACCTCATCGAGTATGACTTCAATCCTACTTATATGTTAACCAGTCTGATGATGGAGTGGAAGGTGGCCATAGGAACTCCGCAATAAAGCGACACAGCTCCGTTGACTTTGGGCTCATTTAATTCGTCTTAAAGAGTACGTTGGCCTATATCAGTGATTTTCAACCTGTGGGTCGCGACCTCCTGGGGGGTCGCCAAGCCTCTATTTGTACAAGTAAACCTCGCGATTAGCTTTTAGTCATATAAAGTGAG